TCTCGCATTAACAGCACAAACCCAGACAACACTGAGTCTTTCACATCCTTTCCACGTTTTCCCTCCCTTTTCTCACAGGTCCATTTTCCTAAGCTGAAATTACATTACACTTCCATTCTCCTTTCACAGGGAAAGGTCATAATTTTTTGCTGCTGCCGCCACCCCTTGTCTGTTGTGTAAGTGTGAGTTTTACAGAGAGAGAGAGCATGAAAAGTTTTAATTATGGCCAAAGAGGAGGCCACCCGCTGAGGCTCCACAAGCCTGTTTTTTTAATGTATTGTACCTCTTCATTCTGGGTAGCATTGGAGTGTCTCAGAGGGATGCAGAGGTAGATGGGGATTTGAAAGGGGACTAAAATGATGATGTGTTTGCTTTCACACTGACATAGTCTGGTCTGAGAAATGGCTCTATAAAACCTGTAAAAGTGTGTCCCTGGTGATTTCTGAAAAGTCAGTGGGGGAGGGAAGGGTCCATATAAAGCAGCGCTGTCAAGGTATGTAGAGTTGTGGCTCTGCTCTCTGCTGTTTAACAGTGCTGGAGTTTGCAGTATTTTCTTATACAGACTGCTGTATTCAGACTCAGGTCTGTAAACATGTGGCACCAACATGATCGCTTCCTTTTAAGAGAAACTAGTGGTGTGATTAGTACTGGAATTAAATTTTGTTGAAAAATTAGCATTCTGGTTATGCAGTGTTCTTTGTAGGTACATTGTAATATGCATTCATCTGAATTAACACACAGCTGATTACCAAAGAAAAATTGAAATGGCAAACATTTACCACTAAATGCTTTTCCAATAATAATCATTTCAACTTATGGCAGTCACCGGCCACAGGAATGCTCTGTTACCTAGCGATACATTATAGATTTTTTGGGTGATTACGTAATTGCTGCATAGATTATGTTCATGTGTGGAGTGGATGGTGGGCATACAAAGGACAGTCCAGTGTGTGGTAAGATTTAGGCTACAAAAGCACTTTGGTTAAATTTGAGGAAAGATTGTTGTTTTTGGTCAAATTGTAATACCATACACGTCCTGTCTTGAAATTCAAGTCACTATCGACTTTTTCCAGTCCAGTGTGTAACATTTAGGATGATCTATTGACAGAAATGGAATATAATCTTCATATGAATGTTTTCATTAGTGTATAATCACCTGAGTATAATATTTGTTCTTTTTGTTACCTTAGAATGAGCCACTGGCTCTAGATAGAGGCGTTTGTGTTTTTCATATCTACATGTAGAGAAACATAGCTCAAACTAGAAAATGTTTGGCATTTTTCCATGATAACTTTTGATGACAATTAATAAATGATCAATATTGTTTAAATTTTCAGTTTTCTAACAATCAACTCATTGATCCAGCACAAATACTGATGTACACTCAATTATCCATGTCCTGATAATCCACTGGGTTTCTATCTGCCAACATAACCGGAAAGCACAAGCACAAGAGCTATTGACCCTTGTGAGAGATGTAATTGCTCATTATGTTAATGACCATGTTGCCATATGGTCAAGGCCATTACACCCTTAAAACTCTCTAATTCTATCTATGGTTACCAACACCCTATCCTTCATATAATTATATCCAGAAACCATTATGCCCTGTTGTAGTAGGCACAGCCCAGCAAAGGAAACAAATGGCCAACATAACCACTATTTATAGGAAAGCTAACCATGATGTTACCATGAGTTACGCAAGTAGGTGGTTTGTTTGGATTCCAGGCAGCGTTACCATGGCAAAATTGTTGTAGAGGAACACACACTGGGTATCCTTGTTTCTGTGTAACATTTTAAACAAGCATATCACATTATTTGAAAGAAATGTGGACATGTTTATAAAATACTAAGTTATGTGTTACTCTGTTTTAATTAAAACTAACATTAGTCAAACTAATATGGACACTGTTTTTTTTTCTTTGGTGACCAATACTATCAAAGCAGCAAAAATTAGCATCCCAAAGGCTCAAATCTTGTCTGTCCAGCGCATCTTCAAACTCATTTAAAATATGATTGTACTGACTGTGATTCATCGGCACAACCAAGTCACAGGACACAAAGTCGTCTGAATGTCTCCAATCTTCCTGCACTTGTGGTCACTGTGTCTCTCTTCCCCATAGCTTTTCCGGACATATGTCGCTAGATTGAGACCAAAAGAGGATGGAGGAGAGGAGGAGGAGGAGGAGGAGGAGGAAAGGGAAAGAAAGACAACAGGGTAATTCATTCAGTCGTCTGTGAAAGAGAGGAAGACTCAGTTTCCTCGAAGCAAGCGCAGTCAGTCATCAAATTATAGCCATCTGCATTGGCTTGGGACCAGAATTCTGCTTGACGCACAATAAAGTAGTGTGAGGAGGGGTGTGGTGGCTAAAGGGGATCAGAGACTGTCCTCTTAGGTGGTTAAACTTCCACACGCAGACTGACTCCAAGAGTGGCAGCAGCTTCACAGCTCCAGCTTACACTCTTATGGAGATGGAGATGATCCTTTACAGATAATGATGCCTTGTCAGCAAAATCACACCAGCTTGATCCTATCTACACCCAGCCCAAAGTCCCTAAAATATGGACATTATAGCTGGGTGTTATGTTGCAGTAAAGAACAGGAGACTTGAGGCATGTTCTCATTCTCAAAAGCCTTTCATGTTTATGCTTTTCTTTCATCCTATAAGGGTAAATTCCCCTTTTGCATACCTGTTAGACACAAGCAAGGACACAGAGACAAAGGAAGTGTCACAGAGCAGGGCATTTATACAGATAGCACATTGAAAATGTGCTTTTCCTACATGAAGCCTATTCTCTGCCTGAGCTTTACACAGCTTAGCCGGGGAACTAATTAATTCCAGGTCCAGGTACACTGCAGAGAGTAAAGCTATTCTGTGTATCATTAGAAAATGTGCTCCTTTTCCTGAAGGCAACAGCAGCAAGCTGAATTTGAACCAGAAAATCCCCAGGCAGAATTGTCTTGGCATCGCTCTCTCCTTCAGCTTTTTATCCCTATGCTCAGTGAACAATCCAACAAAAGCTCGGGTTTAAGAACCATGGAGCTCATTGCGATCTTCTTTGTTAATGCAATTGCCTGTAAGAAAAGATTCTGTTCCCCCATTTTTCAGTTTCAGCCTGAAGGCTCCTGTGCAATTAGTACTATTCTTTCATTTGCAATACCTTAGCCTTACCAGAAACTCTCTTATCTGTACCATGATAGCCTCTGGCACAGTCAGTAACCGCTAAAGACAATAGCCTCCGAAAAGTGACATTTGGAAAATGAATGATAACTGTGATAATTTCTTTCAATTCAGTAATACAAATTAGCTCCATTCTTGTTTTGAAGAACCTAATTGCTTAAGTTTTGCTAGTTTTCTCAGATTTCTTGGTATTATTCACAAAATATGGAATACAAAGTTCAACATGTGAAAATTATATTTATTTTTGAGAGCAACCAACATGGCGTCCTTTGGCTACCGGAGACCAGTGCTGTGCAGCAGTGTACAATCGATAGTCTCTGTGTATTTGGCCCGGTGCTGAGACTGTTCATCACTGACTTTGTTCATGACAGAGCAGCCTTGGAACCAAAAGCACATGCCTCTTAGTGGAATCACAAAAGCATGGTCACGAAAAAAGCTTCGCTTTCGTCCTTGCTGACATCAATGTGATTTTCTCTGTTCATAATTCTAGTGTTTGTTGCAGATCTGGAAAGGAGGGTTCATTCACAGGATGAGAAGCCAAAGGACAAATGTAACCTTCACTGTTTTGAAGTTGGCAGCATGGCATTCATGTAGATGCAAGCTGCCCTTTTAAAGGAAAACATGCTCGCACACACATTTGCTCTCACACACATTTGAACAGAGCCTTGAGAAAATACCTTTTCCATTTATAGCCATGAATGTGAAGGTTTAGCATTGTATTTTCTCCTCTATTTTCTGACTTGTGTCTGAGAAGTTATTTTATGAGATTTTTTTCTTATGGCATCAAGCCCACCGTTCTGCTAGGCTACTGTATTCTACTGTTGATACTGAGGTAATATTTTCATCCTCATGATTTCATAGAAATTTTCTAACTTTGACACAGAAATGTCTCTCTCTCTCTCTCTCTGCTTCACTATTCCAAATATTCCAGAGAATTAGCATTATGTGATCAGAAAACTGGCTTCTTAGCTGCGTTCCAGTGAGTTGCTGCCTCTTGAACTATCACCCCTGTAAGGCCGAGTGGGTGGCTAATGGAAACCCCCTTTCTATATCTCTTGGCTAAGGCCGTGGAAAACCCATGCTGAGGAAACAGGGTCTTGGAGGTGGTCCAGTTTAATTTCGGAGCATGTGCACTGGGAAATAATTGACTTCCTCAGTGGTTTACATTTTGTCGAGGGCCCCAGAGAGAGCACAGTCCGAGGCAGGTGGCTGAATTTGCATATCACTGGAAAGACAGCTCAAGCCTGGGAAATCCTGCATCCCAAGACTCTATATGCCCGGAAAACCTCCGCAGGGGTAATGACTGATGTCTCAGTGAGAAAATCCCTTTGAGGCCAGAGAAGCTCCTCTTCAGCCAAGAGCAGCTGGAGGACACCTGAAATCAGTCCAGAGAAAGCAGCACCGTAACATGTGCCTTAGAAAAATGCTCATCTAATTGGTTCAAAACTTTCACATAAGAATTCACAGAGTTGCCATCCAGCAGCTGTAGGTTGCATTAATAGCTATATATTCTGGTGTCTTTTTGTGTTATACCAATGTAGTGAGCCATGTCATGTTGCCACAGTGTAGAGACTGCAAATCATGAAAATCAGGCTATACAACTAGAATTTGCTGCTTGTCCTGTCTAAATGGCCAAGAAGAAAGAAGTGGCAGTTTTTTCTTTATTCAAAAATGCACATTCATAGAAAATATGTGTTTGTGTTTAGTAACACACAATAAAAATCATAGACTGGTGCAGTTGTATGGTATGCCTTTAACTTATTATAACATTATGGCCTTCTTTATTTTCATATGCCTTGTCTTATTTTCTCTTCACAGAATCCTACTTTGGTGACAGCTTCTGCAGTTTGCAAGCCTTCCAAGATGTCTCCACCTTTCACCTGTCACTACAGATCAAGACAAGTCGGCGAAGCGGGCTGCTGTTACTGGCTGCAGGAATGGAAGACTACCTGTTTCTTGAGCTCCAAAATGGAAAAATACAGGTGAATGATTAACAGACTATTAGACCATGGTTGCATCATTTTAAGTTTAGCTCACTTGATACAGCCGAGCTTTGCTAAGCCAAAATTTGTTATATTAGCATTTACAATAGCACTATTTTTGATAGAAACTAGTGATAGTACCTAAAATAATGTCAACTTAAAAACAGCAGGACATGATAATTATTTGAATATGTGCATGCTAAAATGTGATCACTAAATTTGCTCATTAGGGGGTGAGGCAACAATGGCTGTCTTTTGTGCTAAAACTACTGCTTCCAAAACTAAAACTTGCATAACTTGAGAGAATAGCTTGAAATACAAATGCAGATTTATTGTTAATTTAAGATAAAAGTAAGGCAATGTTCCTACTTATTTTCCTCCACAGGAGAAGCAAGTAGAAAAACACTTAAAAACGGATTAGTGCTAAATATGTATGTAAATGTAATGTCACAGCAAACCATTTCTATTATTATGCGCTCACTTACCAATGTAGTGGGTGTTCTTGTTCTGTGTTGTTTTGGTGAAAGATTATTTAAAGCGGAGAAAATGCCTTATACATAAAAAACCACATCAGTGTTATTTCAGTACGATAATAATCTATCTAACATCAGATAACTGTTACTAGAGCCATTCTGCTTCAAAACATGCATATGACACATTTGATAGGTGCCACTCTGAAAACAATCTAAACTGATTTGATTTTTCTGCTATCTTCTCTAGTTGTCTCAATGGAATGAGAACCATGACATTTTACATCTATAATTAATTGCTTGGCAGCTTCAAAAAGCAGGAAAATTAGCAGCAGGTGTGCTATCACAGAGATTCATGCAGATTTTCCCCAGAAAGCACAATATCTCTGCATTTTCAATGAGATGTAATCTCAGGGTATGTGTAATGAAAGGGAATGTAAGCTTTACCTATCTTCTTAATTTTGTTCCTCCAAGAAATATGAGATGCACTGAACAAATAGAATCAAGGCTTTACAAAAATGCTTATCTGTTATGCATGTGTAAGAATCATGTTGTTTAACTTTATTCAAACAAAACCCAGATCTCTGATGTTATCAGTAAAACGTCTTGAAACTATTCCTTTTAATAAATAGCAATGAGTATACCTGAGGAATTTTCTGGGGTTGTAGATACACTACCTAGATCATTAATGTTAATATCACAATAAAATGAAGCTTAAACTTTTATGACTCAACAAATTAGCCCCCTATAAATGGTAAGTGAGAGGATCCAGAAATGGTCATGAGCATACATAAGAGTATTTGCGTTGGTATTTGAAAAGAGAGCTTCTTTGGATTTTATAAATAAGAGTTCATAAATATTGAAAGGACTATTCAAAGTTGTAACTTGTAGTGGTTGCTCCATTTTAGAGAAGGGGTTTTCTTTAATCCTTATACTTTAATGATTTTGTTTTTCCATAGGCACGGATGAACATGGGGGCTGGCGAGGTAACACTGTCCTCATCCCAAGGAGTACAGCTGAACAACCTTCTGGACCACAAAATCTCACTCACTCTGCAAGATGGAAAACTCACCATGACAATTGATGAGCTCTTCCCAACATATGTTCCTGTGAATGATGACGAGGAACAGCTCAATATTGACCTGGGCATATGGCTTGGAGGAACAGGAGACCTGGATGCTCCCTACTTGAGCAATGCCATTCCCCCTTTCCGTGGCTGCATGACTCACATCAAATTTGAGTCCCATCAATTTGATATTCTCAGCACAGCATTTAAACAATGCCACGACACAAAGGAATCTTGCAGCAGTGAGTTTGAGGCTGGTGATGGAGAGGCAACTAGTTTCAGTACTCCTGATTCCTTTATGTCCTTCCCCACCTGGAGTGGTGCTAGTGGTGCTCCAAGGGTCTTAGAGGTCTTAATGAAAACCACCATTGAGGACGCTTTACTTGTTTTCCACCCTGGCCAAGAGTCAGACTTCATTGCTATTGGCGTTGTGAAAGGCTACCTCAAAGGTATGCTGGACCTCGGCAGTGGCATAAAGGTACTCGAGAATAACCAGGTGCAGATGGATGATGATCAGTGGCATAGAGTTAAGGTTCAAGTCAGTCAAGATTCTTTTGTCATTAATGTGGACAGCCAATCTTCCTCTCTCCCTCTTGATCCGTCACAAAAATTGGACTTGGCTGGAAACTTGTATTTAGGAGGCATCCAGGGGAAAATGAAAGATGTCTTTCGTGACAGCGGGTCCTTAAACCATGTAGAGGAGGTGATGACAGCTGAATCCTTCATTGGTTGCTTGGGGGAAATCAAAGTAAATCAGAAGGATAGAAGCCTGCAGGACGCTCTGGTGACCAAAGATGTTCACGTTAAATGTGAAGGAGAGGACTATGACTACTCAAGTTACTATGACATAGACGCAACTACAACTTCTCCACCTGTTCGCATCACGTATGCTGATAGGGACTTGTTTGAACAGCATTGTGACACAACAGATGACACACCAGAAATATTCAAAAATGTAAAAAAACTTCTTGATGTTAACCCATTGCTTGTGCCTGAAGGAGGGGAAGTTTTTGTTGATATCAGCAAACTAAGCCCTACATTTGACCTCAGTGCTGCAGGAATGCGTCAGTCTGAAATAATCTTCACTCTCCGGAATGAACCCTACTATGGCTTGCTTGATATAAACACTAACACAAGACGCACACAAAAGTTCACTCTTCTCGATGTTGTCAATAGGAAAATTAAGTATATGCACGATGGAAACGAGAGGCATCCAGATCAAATCCAGCTACAGGTGGTTGCTAACAGTAATAGCTACCTTCCAGAATGTCTAAAAACTCCTCATGAGTATGTCCTCCCAGTTGAAATTATTCCCGTCAATGATATACCACAACTTGGTGGAGGAGAAATTACCATCACAGAAAATGGCAGGACTCGTTTAAGTCCCAGCCTTATTAAAATCATGGATTCTGACACCCGCTGTGATGAATTAGTAGTAACTGTAACCTCAGAGCCTTCCATGGAAGTTGGTTACTTGGAAAACGGTCAACAGCCAGGAAGAAGTATCTCAGAGTTCACTTGCAGGGAGTTGAAAGATGGAAATATCTATTTTGTACACAGAGGTGGTAGTGCTGCTGGAATTACCTTGGAGGTGTCTGATGGACAGTCAGTGAGTCATTCAACTACTTTTAAGTTATCTGTGACACAGCCACATGTAACTATTGTCACCAACACTGGTCTTTTCTTATCCCAAGGAAGTAACGCATCCATAGGTGTTCAAAATCTGGCTGTCCTCGCTCATCCTCGTAATGGAGATATTGTGTATAACATCACACAACCTCTGATATATGGAGAACTACAGATAATGAAGAGTGATGGAATGTACAAGCAGGTTAAAACTTTCCATCAATCTGATCTGGATCAAAACCACCTTAGATATGTCAGCACAGATTCTAGCGACCAAGAAGATGTTGTGGTCGAGCGGATTCAGTTCAATGTCCACTTGGGGCAGTTCTCCCTCTGGAATAACACCTTCTTAGTCAAGATCATGCCTGCACAAGTGAAAGTTTCTAACATAGTTGCATTGGAGATACAGCCTGGTGAAGAGCAAACAATTGGACTCACAGAGCTTCAAGCCAAAGTAAATGGGAAAAACCCAGATCCACAAACTGTAAAATACATCCTTGTCAAGCCTCCAACATTTGGTAGTCTCCAGATGTTAAACAGAGAGTTGGTTGAGGGAGACGTCTTCACACAGAAGGACATAATGGACCATACTGTTAGTTACACGGTACGTGAGCAACGAGCTATAGATAGTACAGACCAGTTCCAGTTCAGAGTCCTTGCTGATGATCAGTACTCCCCTCTATACACCTTCCCTATTAACATCCTCGCCAATGCAGATGCTCCTGTTTTGACCAATGAAAGGCTGGTTGTCTTGCAGGGTGGTGAATATACTATCAACAAAAACTATCTTTGGATGCAGTCTCCAGATTCTACAGATTTTGTGTACCAGGTCACACAAGAGCCAAAATATGGCCGACTGATAAGGGACACCCCACCCGGGCTGCCTAGATTTGAGGGGGCAATAAGAGTATTCAGCAATGAAGACCTCCAGCTTGACAGGCTTATTTACAAGCATGATGGCTCCAAGACAAGCAGTGATGAGTTTCATTTTTCAGCATTTAATCAAGTAGCAGGAAGTCAAGACAATCAGGAAACAGTGAACAGTGTTTTCAGAATTTCTATCCAATCTAAGAATGAGCATGCTCCTGTGAGGGTTGTGGATAAAGTCTTCAATGTAGTCCGCCACGGTCAGCGCCTGCTAACAACTGATGTCATCCAGTTTAAGGATGATGACTCAGGTTTCAATGACACCCAAATTGTTTATGCTCGCGAGGGAATCCTTTCCGGCAATATTGTCTCAACATCTAATCCTTCACAGTCCCTTTTCCGTTTCACACAAGCCGATCTGCAAGATAAGAACATCCTCTTCATTCACCACGGAGCAGACCGTGAACGCTTCTCACTGCAGGTGTCAGATGGCTTCCACAAAACTACTGCACTGCTTCAGATCCAGGCAGGTGAACCATACCTGCAAGTAGTAAACAACACCATCATTGTCATCAACCATGGAAGCACCAAAACCCTTAACACTACCCTTTTGAGCGCTGACTCCAACATGGACATCAGAGACGACAGTGAGATCAAGTTCCAGGTCACATCGCCACCCAGTGATGGCAGGATTATTGTGAGTGGGATTGAGGCTACAGTGTTCACTCAGGAGGACCTGAAAAAAGGTGTTGTGTCATATGAGCATAATTATGAGAGTCTGAGGTCCAAGGACTCCTTCGGCTTCACCGTTCAAGCAAGAGGACATTCTGCAGAGGGCACATTCAGGATTAAAATATTCAAGCAAGGTTACCTCTCTGAGCCTGAGGTGCTAACAAACGAGGTCATCATTTCCTTTGAGGGAGAACACACCATAATCAACCAGAATATTCTCAAGGTAATGTTTACTGACTGTAATTAGTGTGTGTGCAAAACTTTTCTAGTAAAAGCTTTTTATTAAAGAATAGTATAAGATTTTTATATATGATCTCAATCTATAGTACAGTTAACAAATCTGCTATTTAAATTAATATTTATTTGCTGACATTTAATCTATAAAGCATACATTTGTTTTTATTCAACAAGACTTATTTACACAATTTGGCAGTGTCTATGTGACAAAACATTGTCTTTTTGAAGTTTATTTTGTCTTTGTGAAATGGATCTTTCACATTACTCATTCAAGCATACTGCCCTGTTTTGTAACCCTGTTTATAATCTACATTAAACCACATGAAAGCAGGGCTAAATATGACTGTACAGTTGCTGCTTTTAATCTAGTTTATGTACTAAATTACAGTCTATTAAGTGTGGAAAACAGAGCACTAAGTATCCCCTGAGGAACTTCCTGAAGCCCACTGTAATTTATAGGATGAGCCTGCCTGCACTTCATCTTGAATGCAATTAATGAGGTGTAATGCTCTGTATGTCTTGACTTTTAAAATGATGAGGGACATTTCTGAAAGTAAAATGTTTTTTCTTCTAAACTTCAGTTTTACCATAATGCACACATTTTAAATTAGCAGTATAGACTGGAGAATAACCTAGACACCCAGTTTACATACTACTGAAATATGTATTGAACAAAACCTTGACAGAATGGCCTTTGCAAAAGGTAAAATATTGACTTTGCTTCTGGGTGCTTTTCCAATGTGTGTCCTTACTATGAAATGGAAAATAGTATGATCTTCTGAAATACTGTCAAATGCAAGCATGACTTCTCCAGAGAGTTTATTAAATCTTCTCAAACTGGGATGACCGTAAATCTGCCTGTGTGTAAATCTTCTGCATTACTTTAAATGTTGCTGAATATCACAAATGTCCTCTTTAAGTTTATGTTCACCATACAGCCACAGTGTACTGATTAGATACTCTAAGCCAAACTCATTTTAGGTTTAAACTGCACTAAAGCAGACTGGGCCCAACAAATTACTGCATTGTATTGACATTAACTTACAATACAATAATGTTCCTGTGCTAGGAAAGGAAATTATAAATAACATCCAATTCCAGATGTCCAATGTAACTCTTTTTCAAAGTTTTATTTGATTTGTTTTAACAAATGTCACTGGAACAGTTGCATAACTATCTACTATTTTTGTCAACTGGGAGTAGTTCCTCTATTTCTGTGGTGTATTGCATGTGTATGTTATATTTTGAAGTATATTCCATTAGTCAGAAAGCTTAGTAATTTCACTACACACAAAACAGAAGAGTTTTTCTAGAATTCACGCATTGGACATTATGCTATAGATGAACAGATTTATTGTCTAGCCAACTTTATACCTGAAAAGTGATGATATATTATGATGTTAAATAATAAATGAACAGTGTGTACCTTTGCTTTTTAGGTGGACCAAGCTGATATTCTGCCTACAGAAATGGTGTTCACCATTAAAGAGCCTCCTCGTCTCGGTCATGTGGTCAAGCTGACAAACAGTTCAGACAGCACAGCCTCGCCTGTCCTCGACTACATTCACTCCTTCACACAGGAGGACATTAATCAGGGGCGCATTCTCTATGTGTCTGCATCCATCCAGGTTTATTGACATTTAATTTATTCTGCTATAGTAAATCATATGTGGCAGCTTGCTCCCTTTCATATCCACAGTAAAATCACACAAAAGACAACCTCAGCCTCTGATGAGTCTAAGGTACAAGGTTTATTTTTAGTATATCAATAACTTATTTGAACATCCATTTCTTTCAGGGCAATGACGTCTTCACAGTAGATGTCAGTAATGGTTTTACAACAGTGGAGGACCTGCACATCTCTGTGGAGATCGTGCCCCAGCTCATCCCCATTCAGACCTTCAACTTTACAGTGAAGGAAGGCCTCAGCAGGCCAATTAACGCAGAGATTGTTAACATCTCACATCCCTTCTACAGCTCAGCAAACATCGAATTCGTTGTGGAAGAGTCACCACAGCACGGGGACATCCGCTACCTGGATGGAGACGAACTTTCTTACTTTTCATGGGAAGAGGTATGCAGTGATATGATAAAAGAAATATAGAAATTGTATAGTCAGTACATATTGCAACAAAAAATATCACCAAAATACTCACAATCACATCTCCCTGCCTCCTCATTCAAATAATCCTCTCTCTCACTGACGTGAACAGCCTGTGGCAGCTGCCTCACTGAACTGCTACGGCTCGCACGCCTGTGGTGTGAGCGAGAGTTTCTGCTGCAGTGCCGCTGTTGCCAGCCCTATATTTTTACATTAAGTTTGCCTTTGAAATACAAGACAATTAAAGCCTTGTTTACAAACGAATGGGTTCTGTGCACAGAAACGCTAGAGAGCTTTTAGTCTGAAACAGATGCAGGAGGTGTAAAGTGAAATAATTATATGTATATTGTTTTCATATCTGTGACCTAAATTGTGGTGATTGCTGGTATAATGTAGATATGTCTCCCTGGAAAAAATAAGGCAGTAAATTTATGGGTGTTTAAATTACAAGAAAGTCAAGCTGCAGACGTATGCTGTGTGGCCAGGTATCTTGTTTTATAAATGACTTTTTAATCAACAATCAAGTTAATTTCCTTCCAATATCATACCATGCTACAGTATGCTACTTTTATTGGCTTGATTAGCCACTCGGTAATGGGGGAGATCATTGGTTCTTTCCCTTTGCCTGATGATGCAGCTCTTGTGTTACTTTTTAGATTATTTTCTGTGCATAGATGTACCAATTTAATTAATTCCATTCAATTTGCATCTTTACCTGAAATTTGTCATGTACCAGCATCACCAGCAACTATCAGGAGTACCAGCAGAAATATGATCATCTTGAATCCTTAATATTTTTTCCTCAAAATTCAGATATTTTTTGCTTATTTGGAAGAAAGATTCCTTTTAAAATAAAATTTGGGGATTTTTATTTACCACATGGTTGGTTTCACCAAATGGTTAATGTGTACCACATGTATTGCCAAATGCACCAAAACACTGGATCCACTTTTAAAGGATTTGATCCATTATTTCTTATAATATAATAACCTAAATTTTATTCAAACAAAGGTTCTTTCATTTTTGTTAGCCTGGAACCAAAACTTCCCACAAGACCCAAAATCCCAATAGTCTATATTTTATCCTGTCTTTATAACTCTAGAGAGTATAAGACTAGATCATGGTGGTTGTTCAAAAGGATTACCACAGCAAAGCGTCACCATGGAACTTTCCCCAGTTACTACTCAGAGCTGTTTTGGATTTGTTGTGTTGTAACAGATAGAGAGGGGAATCTGGGAGCTGCTGCAGCACAGTTATCTGGTCTCCCTCCATGTGGTTCAGAGGCCCCAGCTTTAGGAAAATATAAAAAACGCATGAGTAGTTACCGGTGGAAAAACCTTGTGCATTCTGAAAGGACCACATAGTTCAGTGGACACATATCTTATTGCTCCTACATCGAGCACTGGTCTGCCTCTACTCCGCCTCTACTCCTCTCTACTTTGCTGAACCATTGTGGAAAAACTGACGATGCCTTTGGACCGCCTGAAGCCAAAATAAACTGGCCCGGTATATTCATATAATAATGTGTGAGTGCACACAAAACTCCCGCGCTTTGCATCTGTCAGACTCACTCATACAGTCTCTCAAAGATCCCAATGTGCATGTCTAGTGGATAAAAGCGATAACACTGGTAGCAGGAAGGCATAAATGAGCATAAATATCATCAACTGCCACTATGGAAATGTCAAAGAGAAAAAAAGACTTTCTTTACGGCTTCTTGGAAACTGTTTTACGTTTGCACTGTGTGTACTTTTTTCTGTTTTCTTTAACTGTACTATTCTCAGAGAATGAATCAAAGTCAGTTCTCCCAAATGAGTACCACATTGAAGAATAAATGTCCAAGCCTCGGTCTGCGCATCATTTAAACCAGACAGTAATTGTTCCAAAATGAAAGTCGGGTGTGTTTGTACTCTGTATTGCAGCATTTTAATTCCTAAGTTAAATGCTGTTTTAAGCTCTACTGGGCAAGTCCACCCCTGCCCCTGGGAATGGACACTGAACTTACTGGTGTTTGTAGTTTTGCGATAAAGTCATCAGTTTTCTGAGGTTAAAGTAACATGGGGGTTGCGCAGTGAGAAAAATTAAGAGTGTCTCATGCAGAAGATCTACATGAACACTAACCACAGGAATGTAAAGTAACTGTATGTGCCATGAGACCCAGATGTGTCACATAAGCATGAGTCAGACATTGTATAGCATTGTGCTAACCACAGCGCTGACTATGATTTACTCCCGCTTTGAACAATAAAGTAATGTACACACTCAAGAACATATGTGATATTGAGTAGGGTCCAACTTGAAGAAATATAGGAAATCTGCTCTAATGCACCTTTGTTTAATCAGGTTCAACTCTCCATCAGGTCTCAATTAGGTCTTCCATCTGTGGAAACCTATTAAAGTCCACACAGGCATCTTTATTTTTTAACAAAGTACAAAATGTTTTGGGAACAAAGCCAGCAAGCTTGTGTGCTTTATATTATTAATATATATCCAAACTACAGTAGGCACACACAACCTGAGATTTTACATCAATATAATAATTATGCAACTAGTTTCAAATATTGACACCAGCACCAGTCTTTCTCAGTGTAAATCACAAGGCCACTTGTCCAACAACCACCCACTGTTTATTGTCTCAGCAAGCAGACTGATTGTCTCGCTGACTTTCCCCGATCAGTAATGATGATGAGGGTTGTTATTTCAGAAGGATGCCAGTCATATGGGATCCATTTGGCACTTCCTGCTCTCTGAAGCGGGTCCTCTCATCACAGCAGCTTGCTGGCTTTTGTCTAAACAAAGTTCCAACTGTCGTCTTTACGGAGGACTCTGAATCTCTGTAAATATATCAGAGAAGTATCAAAGGAAAATGTTAGGGATGCAGATTATTTGACCCAGATTACAAGTAAATAAGACTAAAGGACTGAGAAACATGAACGCAGGATGCTGGGTGCTGGGTGCTAAGATTCCTCTCTGTATGCAGAAAGTCAACAGAGTTGGCTTGGCCCGGCCGCAGGTGCTGTTTTCCATCTAGCTCACTTGACAATGGATGACTGATTTCTTTGTGCATCTGGTTTCCCTCAAGGTTTCGTCCCACAAGGGAGATTCTCCTTGTTCCCGTGCTGCTCCCAGACCTGATTATAGCTTTTTGAGATAAAGAAAAACATATATTATCAGCATAGGACAACAAAAGATATAGTGTATAGTATACAGAGATAATAAGTCTCTGTAGGTTAGAACATACCCTTAAACAGAGACCCTTAAAGGAACAGTCTGACAATTTGGGAAATGCACCTTTTCGCTTTATTAGACTATAATGTACAGTAGTTACACGCTCACATTATTCATAATTACATCAAGTAATGCTGTGGTAACTATTATGCTACATAGAATGTATGTTTGTTTCTCACTGCTGAAAGGCCATCAGCTTATAAAGATAACCTGTTAACAATTTGGCTGAACCAGCTTTTTCTTTAAAGGATAACACTTTTGTACTGTACATGTACATAATACCAGATAAAAAGGGTACATGTACATGTGTACTCTAGAGATTTACTGCTTCCCATAAAGTTAGTGGATTCACAAGAGAAAGATGAAGCAGCAGAGACCACGACATTTAGTTGCTTGTATAAGTCAATGTCCAAACACTATATCCTACCTTTTCCCACTAACCAACAGCATATTTTAGTTACTCCCTGTCTAGTAAACACCCACATGTTTCAAGCTACAGTTTGTAACGCAAGCATTCTTTTATAACTTTGTAGTCTCCAAGCCAAAACAGAGGTAATCCAGTCCCCTAGAGCCACAGAAGACATTGTGTTTTAACAGTCTGAGTAGTACCCTAATCTATTACTAAACTGACTATAATGAGTACAATTATTGGAGTATCATGTCCAAGTTAACCAGAATATGATGGTTTCGTGGTTTCTCAACAGCAGTGTTCTTATGTGTCTTATGGGTATGGGTGTTAGGAGACACAGTCACATTGTAAAATTTTATTTCACCTTTTAGGGCTCACCCAGCCTCTGCCTATTTTATGTTTCCTACCATTCAGGTCTGATTTAGAATTGAGTGATGACTCGATCCTTTTTTGTCTTCTGCAGATGAAACTTGGACACATCTACTACATGCATGACAGCACCGAGAGCACTGAGGACAGTTTTACACTCTCTGCCTCGGCTTATGAGATTGATCGCCGGAGCCTGCATGTCACTATCTCAGTGACTGTCATACCAGTCAATGATGAGCCGCCAAAACTGACACGTAACACAGGACTGGAGGTAATGTTTTGCTCTTTGAAAGTGCATTTGCTGTTACTTTGAGCTTTCCTCCAGCATGCTCAGTGGTTAACTGGTTGGAAATGTTGCTGTAGGAAAAATCTTTTATATCTATAAAATGTAAACTTTGAGTTTGTTGGATATTGTTTTTCCTCTGGAACGTTTCAGCTGATGAGAATTCAAGCTGTGCACAACCATCACTTTGTATGAAGGAGGAAAGAACAAACTTTTTATTACAGCCTTTCAGAAAGAGGGAATGAGTATTTTATACTAAAAAGATGAGAAAATAACTTGCTTCCCGCAGTCAGTTCCAGTGTCCAATTTATTTCATGTTACTTTTGTAGATATATTTGCTTTCTCTCTCTATGGAAAAAAGAACTAGTCCAACTTGTGCATGTGATTGACAGGCTGCAGGCATTCCCACCTGCTTCAGACTTTGCATGATTGGTCTGATGCCCAAACAAAATACAAAAAACAATGGCAGATAAATGGCTTTATAATGACTGATCAGATTCTGACGTGTTTAGAAGGGGCTGTTTATTGTAAAAACAACCTCCTAGTCTTTTAAGCTTTATGCTTCATTTTAATTTAGATTGATTTCTGATCAAATTGTATGTGAATTTACCCACTAACTAACTAAGTCACAAGAAATGCTCAAAGATACTGAAAAGGTTTTGCGTTGGAAGGAACATCTTACATTGGAGGTTTAAGTGGATACCATAGTTTTAAGAATGAATGGTTTCTGAACTCTGAATGAACTCTGTAGTCAATGCTGATCTTTCTCACATCTATTTTGGATATGGTTCCAGCTGCAGTTACAGTCCACCATCATGAATCCTGTATGAATTGAGAAATAAATTCACTTCATGTACCAAGTACAATAAATGGAGAAAATGTTTTACTTTTTTACACAGAAGGATACTGACCTCACAGACGATGACGCATGCTGCATCAGTACAGCAGTGGCCTCCACAGCATATTTGTTTTTATAAAGAGCCATAAAATAGAAGTGAATTAGCATATTCTCAGCTTGACTGCTCCAAAATGTGGCAAGCGAATCATGTAAGCCACATAAGTATACAAGGGCAGTGATTCACTACTGTATGCACTCAATGCAGTGTCAAGCAGAATTTCAGCTATACAGTATGTGTGCATGTTAATGCAGGCTCACAAGAACAGGCAATAAAGGAACATAGTATTATAATCACAGTACCTATACTGGTACCACTGTGCTGTTAAATTCCCTACATTGTAGATCCCTCCCACTTATATTTCTTCCTAAACTCTATCAGTAAATCATTTAATCAGAATAATTGCTGTTTGTTGTAAAAAGAAAGGTGTTTATTCAACCTTATCTTTATTTAATTGAATCTCAAGTAGGTCCAGAGTGTGTTTGTGACATGCTTTCAAACTGATTTACATCAGTCATGAAAGGAAAGTTTTGAAGCATCAATAAAGTAGATTCAACTGTAAGAGTAGGCAGGCAGTTGGAAAAAGACAGCAATAATCAGCTCACAGAACTGGAAACCAACTGTGTCATTCAGCCCTCCCTGCGGCTCCGCGTCTCCCTGGCAACCCGTATTTTTGGAAAACCAAGATGGTCGACAAGACCACAGCTTTCTGGCAGGGTGAGGGCGGCATCCAATCCTTGTGCCTCCTCTGCTGCGGCTGCAGAATGTAACATAATAATATGTGGATGTCTCCCCACACAGAGCCAGGGCTGACCCAGCAGCACTTGGATTGATTCAAAGCAGGAAGTGTGTGTGTAGTGACCTCTGCAGTAGATGATCAGACATGATGACTAACATGGCCGACATCAGGCTCTGTTCAAGCTCACCATTGATCCCATTTGGCCCAGTCTATAGGATACATCTGGTCCCGATTAGGGTTTACACTCTGTCTCTGTCTGTCTCTGTCTGGTTCTGCTCAACTTTGCTGTATTTCTGAACAGTTGTCCTTCTGGGTCGGACTTTTTGACATTCTTATTTTTCTATATATCCTTGGTCAGTGTATGAGTATTTCTGCCATTGCCTTCTCTCTTCTGAGTCTTTCACATTTTTGCAGGACTATATAACCGTCCAAACACTTTGGCTTTGACTGCCAGCCTAATCCCCCTTGCTATTTGTGCACATGACTAGTGGGTGATAGATGAAGTACAGTATTTTTGTTTCATCCCACATCAAAACACAGACCAGTAGGGACGTTACGCCAGATATTTAGGTAGCTAATCTGTGTCTCAGGGAGAAATACCGTTGCTGCATATGGGGAGCTGAAATAAAAATGGAACACCATCCTTTCTTCACGGCCCTAGACTACAATTTAGGCATTGGCAATCATCTTTCTTCTTGTTGTTTTCCAGTAGTTTGTTCACCTTTACTTCCCCACTCCCCAATATAGAGTTAGAAATACACCCTGGTGTCCCCTGTACTTAAGCCAAGATTTCAGATGCCTTGGCAGTCTGGGATACAGCTTCAGATGTCTGGCGCCCCTCAGAGTCTCAAATATTTAAAAGACAGTGGTATCCCGTTGAGTCATCAGCAAACTAAGTCTGCTGCCTATGGCAGCTCCATCATTTCCACCTCCAAATGAAATATCATTGTGTCTGATCAAATTAAATTTGCAGCCCATCCTCTTAGGTGCTAAATGCATTGATTGTTATATAAACCATTAATTTGCAAGACCATTTTCAGATTACTTGCCCTAGATTGTCTGGTGCCTCACTGGGGTGTAGAGTGGGCTGATGTGGCCATCTAGTGTCAGCGAGTGGGTTTTTCTCTGTAAAAAATGTCCTTGTTCTAGTACTGAACCAGTACTGACAATACCTTGAACCCAGTGATGTGACCTCATTTTTTATTTTTTATTTAATTTTATTATTCCAGGTGGCTGTTTTTCTGTGTTAATTCTGTTTTCTGTTTGGGAACTATTTTATATTTCTTTCAGTAAATGTCTAGTGTACAAAGTTGCATTTCAGCACAATAGTTAATCAGTGTTGCATACATACTGATTATTTTCATTGTCATCATGGACATCACAAGCCAGTAAAATCATTTTCAGAAATAAAGCACTGTTTAACATCAGCTGCTCAATGAAATTCCTCGGTGTAGGGCCAATTCATTTGTCCTGTTAAAACAATTGATTAGAAATTACAAAGTCATGGAAATCACTGCAAACAAGCAATAAAACTACAAAGTCAAAGGCCTTTTACTATAATGCTTCAGGCATTTTAATACATTTATCCCACAGATCAAACCCCCATCTACCTAATTGGTTGTACAAGAGTAACTTGTAATAGAAATGCATTTAATCTGTCAAATGTTCTAGTCTAAAAGTATGTGTGGTTTAGGCTATTGTCCAATTACCAGCTAAAGAAATTATACATGTTACAAATATAAAATTCTTTTATGTTAAGAAAGGAGAGTAGAATGGAAAACGGCATTATAAATTCGACTGGACTAAACTTGGAAATACACTTTTTTTTATTTTGTTCTCAACATCTGCAGAACAAATTGCAGCATATCCTGAAGATCAAAAAGTGACTTAACTCCAGAAGATCTTTTTGCTGACCTCCTGCGGTTTAACTTCTCTCCCTCCTGCAGTGATGTACAGGTGTATTACAGGACCACATGCTATCACTGTTGGAAGTTGTAACAAGTGCTAAAAAGCACACTTCTGGACACACCAATCAAAACTGAAAAAGGGTTGAATCTTTCAACTGGAGGTGACAGGGAAAAATTGCCTTTCGGCCTGGTGTGGAGTTACTCTTTAAAGCTGTGTTGCATTGGGGCTTCCATGAATCTGATACTCAGTGCTTCATTAAGTTTCTTTCTACAGTTGGCATTTAGTGGTGATACATTATAATGAAGTTACTGTAAACAAGTGAGACCATGGTCAAAATGACTAGAATATTTTGTCTTCAATTCAATTCAATTC